TTTTAGCAAGACCAAGACCAAGACTGACCGTGCAAGACTTGAGCAAGAACAAGACTAATCCGGCAAGACTCTTGCGTCTTGCAGCTAGGACTTGCGCTATTTCACGAAGTAGTTAGGTATAACAGTTCGGTGTATAGGTACGCTTAGGAATTCTATGAGACGCAAAAAACTGTATCAAAGAATATGAAAAACTGGACCTATGCGCATTACGACCAATACCATAAACATACATAGCACGGTAATATAGATAATATTACCGTGTTATGTTTCAGCTATTACCTGCGATCCTTAGATTAAATGATATTGATGCATGTTGTTATATTACCGTGTTCATAGCGAATAAAAAAATATCCATTAAAATCAAACAGAGTGCATGCATAGTTTTGTTTTAACCATCGGCACTTTGATAATGCGGTATCAAAGGTTTTGTGACTGACTTCTCAAAGAAATTTGCCGCTTTTCGGAAGTACATGGTGATGATACAAACGCCGGCGGCTTCTATTGAAATCACATAAAACAATCGTTGTCGCCGCGCCGAAATCACTACATTTGACACTATTTGATTGCCGCCACAGGGCCTAGGTATACTCATGCTAAATTTTAATTTTGTGTCGTGCTGTCCCACTAACGCTAATACATTAGAAAACATAGAAATAGGTTAAGTGATTAGTCAGCCAGATGGTTAATTTGTATTAATTCTTGGTCAAAAGAATTGATATAAAGTTACAGAACCTATGACAAAGCTGTTGTGTACTGTTATCTTATTTGATTTGTGTTGTGTTTTATTTTTTATTGAAATGATAAATCGTAAAACTCTTTTATTAAATTTCATATAAGTTGAGGGTTCAATCTCTTTCTAGACAGATATTGTTCTTTAAAATATAGTCACGTTATTGTAATTAATTTGTTTTTTACATGTTTTAGCACATGTAAGCTTATAAAGTGTAAATGTTTATTAAGAAAAAGTTACTCAGTTGATAATCATGTGGCAGTTGATTTTTCGAATTTCTTATCAAATCTTCAGGCATTTATTAATCTGATCGGTCATGGCTATGTTAATTCAAGCACACAATGTTCCAATTCTAATACGTTTTTCTAAGATCTAAAGTAAACTTTAATAAATAGCAATAGTCTAATAGGTAATTGCAAGACTTGCAAGACTCTTGCTGCAAGACCAAGACCAAGACCAAGACTGGGAGCACAAGACCAAGACCAAGACCAGGTGTAGTGGCGCAAGACCAAGACCAAGACTGGCTAAGTCTCGTCTTGTTCTTGCATTTGGGCAACACTAGTTGGTATATACCACCAGCTTGGGAACCTATTATACAGGAGATAAAATCCCAACCCCGAGCACACACTGCAAGACCATCAGATACTATTAGTTCTTTTTGTTTGCATAATTTAACATAAGAAGGAGATAGAAAGCCTCTCTTGCGTTTGTTTCGCCGGTTCTTCTCAGAAAGGTCTCCCAATTTTGGAACCGGTGGTAGTTTACGGTAGTTAGGGTCAAATAAATATACTCAAAATTACCAAAAATAATTTTAAATAAAATACTTTATTAAGTAAATTAAATAATAAATTCATACATAGACAATAAAACTTTAAAAATCGAACAATGAAATAACCGAACGCTCAATAAAAGTCTTTCGAAGGTAGCTCGACAAATTAAATAAAAGTTTGATTCTGACGACGTAGCCTGTAAAGGCTACGAAACGTCAATAAATAAATAAAGTTTCATGCACTAACCCGTAAAAACTAGTTTTATTTGAAAGCAAGAAATCACATCTTCCAAGCCGGCTGGTCCCCGAGGAAGATTACGACCGAAACCTTCCAAAGAAAATTACATCGATACCCCATCAACCAGAGAAACTAAATACACCCTTCATATTGACTTACAATGTTAGAACATTGTTATCACATGAACGGTTAATTGAACTGACAGACGCTTTAAAGAACGTAAAATATGATATTATTGGCATATCCGAAGCGCGCCGCTTAGGAAACGAAATAGCAGAATACAAAAATTTTATTCTATGCCACACCGGTAATACACCTGGCAAATATGGAGTTGACTTCATAATAAAAAAATATCTGAAACAATACTTAGATAGCTACATCGGCATCTCGGAGCCAGTAGTGTTACTTCAGTTGAACTTTCCGGATAAAAATCTGATTATCATACAAGCCTATGCATCAACCGAGGCGGCAAATGAAGAGGAGATCACAGCTTTCTACGACTCTATCTACAAAGCCTTAGGGCTAGCTTACAAGGATTATATTCTAATGGGTGACTTTAATGCTAAAATAAGATATCCACAAAAGGATGAACACCTAGTTTCAAAACAAAATGGATACGGAGAAAGAAATACCAGAGGTCAGAAGCTTGTAGACTTTGCCATAGAGAATAAATTATCAATCATGAATACCTTTTTTAAGAAAACCTTTAAAAGAAGCTGGACATGGCGCTCCCCCAACGGACTCTACAAGAATGAAATAGATTTCATATTGTCTAATCGACCAAAAATATTCCAAAATGTTGAAACACTGAGTATTAACTTTCCGTCAGACCACAGACCACTTAGAGCAAAAATTGTACTCACTAACCCACTAAAAAGGACAGCAAGATATAATAATAACCAATGCAATACACTGAAAGGCGAGGAAGAAATAATCCTATATAAAGAGGCATTAAAAAATCATCTACCAAACCTACACAGTCCAAGTCAAAAATTGACAGTACAGGAGTATTACGACGAGATAATAAGCTCTATCCAAACAAGTTTACGAAGTGCATGCCAAACAAAGCATAAAATCAAAACCCCTACTGTACTATCAGAACGCACAAAAAATCTTATTAAAAGAAGACAGACACTGCAAAGAACTAGCAATAAAACTAGATCTATGAAAAATGAACTTAAAGCTCTTTACAAACTTATAAGCAAATATTTGTTCTTACGAACAGATTATAAAAAACACAGACTAACTGTCCTCACACAGCACCTCGAAACAAAAGGAAGTATAAAAAAGGGATACAAATAACTTCAAACATCATGCAGTTACATGCTTTAAAATAATAAAAATTATAACTATAATTGCTATTTCTTCTTTCAAATGTTTAATAATTGTAAAAGTATTCATTTGACATTGTGGGTTACCTATAATGCGAGGAAATGGCGCTGCCTTGCAGCTTAAGAATGGCTAGAAGAATTTTGACGCGGTCCGTGAGGGCCGCGGTAGCATAATTGGTCAGTGCATTCGCCCGGATTGCCAAGGGTGCGGGTTCGAGTCCCGCCTGCTGCCTGGTCCGCGTGGAATATTTTCTAGTTATATTTTCTTTAGATTTAAACATCAAGCAGTTACATGCTTTAAAATAAAAAAAAATATAACAAATATTTTGCTGATGCTATGCTATGCTACACCTTTTTGCTATAGTAGCCTCAACCAGTCCACCACTGCTATTGCAAGCATTTTCGTGATATAAAATGTTATAAATTATTATAAACTTTCATCTACATTATAGGCACAATGAAGATAAAAAGCAGTTTCAGTTAACTAAGTTTTCACATAAGTTATCTAAGACCATTGCTATAGCGTAGTATCAGTTTGTCGTGAGATACGTGAGAAGATCCCTATTGAAGGGGGATTACGTCTTAGAATTATTAAAGGTCGTACGTGACACTGTTCCTTCAGTCACACGATACGCGACTAAAATAATCATTGTGTTGTGGCTATACCAATTTGATAGTCAAACATCAGTTTCGGATCAATAAACACGTATGTCAATGTTATCGGATAACCAAACTCAGGGGTGTGGAATGCTCAAGATTCCGTTAGTATATTATCCATATAGAAAAAGAACGTGCTTCTTGCTAGGATAGTTTAAAGAAAGCTAGGGCATAGCGGATTTTCCGCTTGCATTGGAGCGCCCATCTGGATTTCAGATTTATTTATTTGCAAGTAAAGTGATACAAAAGATGTTACCTTATTCGTTCAGACACTTACAATTCACCAGAAACTGGCATACAAATTTTATAAATATATACAAATAAAATTGCACTATCTATAAGCCGTCCAAATCAAAGGTGAAAATATAGCAAATTATCTAATTATTTACTCTTTATTTTTTGTAACAAATGGCGGACTTAATGCCACATGGCATTCTCTACCAGTCAACCATATGGCGAAACAGAGAGATTACTGTCATCTTTTACATAAACTCATAAACTCCTCAACAGAATAAAAACAGTTCCGTATCAAACAAGTTTTCAGTTTTCTCTTGGGCTTATTTAAAGGCAATATCTAGAGATCATCCGGTAAACTGTTATAAATACATATAGTCATACAATACGCATTTTTATGGTTAAGAGCCGTAGTTTTTTGTGGAAGAACTAGGGCATTAGGGAATCTAGTGTTAAAACTAAAGTTGTCTTTTTTCTTTTTAAATAACTCGGGGTTAATTTGGGCAAACACACAAACCTCAGAAATGTACATGCAAGGTAGCGTTAGCAGTTTAAGGTGTTTTTAATTATGCTAGTCTGTATTACATGAAATCCCGTCGAGTTAGTGGACATCAGTGATTTCAAAGTTTTTAATTGTCTCTTCCTCATTAGTCGGATATAAAAATAAGCTAGTAGATACTATATTATATATTTAATTTCATACGCAGCTTCAAGTACCCACTGTTTTTGGGCCTACTAAAATAATGTTAGACTGGCTATATTTTTTTAAAAACTAGCTAAGTTCCGATAATAGTTTTTTGATCTATGTCATGTTCCCCTCCACTAACACTTAAGTAAATCTTCACATCGAGCATTAGGGTTCCCCACTGATGTTATAAAAAGGAGGAGTAACCTCCATTTTATGGAAGAAAATAGTAAAATATATCTTCTAGTGATGCCAGAACTGCACAGGGTAGAGGATTGGGTCAGGGTAGGCAAAGGCGCGGGTGATCTTTTTACCCATTATTGTTGAGATAAATTAAAGTTATTGTAGGCACTTACCAAATAGTAGACTCCAAATGGCATGACCACCACCGCCACCAAAAGGTCAGCGACAGCGAGGCTCACTATGAAATAATTCGTAGCAGTTTGTAAGCTGCGCTCCTTAGCGACACTAATTATTACTAGCACGTTACCGAACAAAGTTAACAGTGGGAACACCAACAACGACAGCGCCCAAAAGTTATAACTTTCCACATCACTAACACAAGTTCCATTTTCGAACGTACAGTTTGGGAACGTTCCATTTGCAGTTCTCTCGAAGTCGTACAGTTCGCTGAGTGAGTCGTTCAAATCCAATAACATTCTTAGATTGATCGGCCCGCTACCGTTCGCAGCTCTTTCGTGCACGAACGGGGTGCTGAAGAACGTCGAATTGGGATCAGGCGGACGTAGCTGAAATGCGGTTAGTCCGCTTGCGTTTTGGCAGCCGGAGCATACTCTGTCGGGTAGTGCCATGCGAATTTCTCGCACGTCAAGATTTTGCCTGTTCTCGTTCATTATTCAAATTTATGGCACAGCTTTGCCTATTCGATCTGGGCTGTCCTGCCAACACCCCGGCGGTGAGCTCTTCTGATGTACGCACCCATTCTCATGCACTCCAAACATTGTACTTGCCCGGAAACCTGGAACAAAATTGGTTTTTATTAAATTTTTTGCGCCCTCACACATGTTTTATTCATTCGCTCTCCGTATGAAACCGTTCGTTGGTTTACCGAACAGTGAAATGTATGTGAATTCGTAAAGGGTTTGTGAATCTTATGAACAACCGTTTTGTGCGGTTTGCAGAATATTGCGAGAATCGGAATTGAATCTTACAATAAAGCGAAAATGTTTCTTATCTTTCATAATACTTTGTTATCCATTATAGTTTAGTATCCTGTTATCGCCGAAGAGATTTATTTTTCTTTACTATGTAGTATCCCCAGTACGTCCAAACAGTTTGCACACAGTTTAGAGCGTAGTTAAAAAAGTGGGAGGTATCCCCTCTCTTCACCACCTTGCCGCCGCTGCTCGTCGGTTCGATGCTCATTCCTTTCAGAGAGCGCGCCACGACCGCACGCAGTCTAAAAAAAAACCAGTTCTACAAGTGATTTATTTTTTCAGAACGACATATTGACCAACAAATTTGAGTTAACACGCGATGTTAACCAGTGTTATTTTTGCTCCTAATAAGAGCCATTGTGCAAAGTTAATACGATATTTATTAACTATTGAGCCGAGTTAATACTATATTGATTAACTCCTTTTATTTTTAGTGTCAACAAAGCTTCTAAACCGCTAACACAACATATTTATTTTTTTCATGTCTAATTTCAGCTGCTAACATTTTGTTTAGGATAATACGTGATTTTTATTTTCAATTTGACAATGATATTATCAGAATTAATTATTAGAAGCAGGCTACATTTTTCCTGGGGACATTATACGGTAATTTGTTACGTAACACGTTTTAGCGGGTCTCTTATAGCCAATATTCTATAGGAACTACCCACATGATGAATATATAAAAAAAAAAACATAAATCGTACTTTCGATTGTCTAAATAATTTAGGTTTAATTATTAGTAGAAAATTATGTGGACTTATAGTTTAGTGCTAAACTAGAATACGATTTACGACCTACCTACCTCCAAAGAAAAGTTGATAAAATGCTAAGATGAGACGATGCTAAAATCAATGTGAAAAAACTGTAAAACATAATTTGTAATTTTGCAAAAATATAATTATAATAATAATAACTGAACCATTGTTCGTGATTTAACAAGATTTACAAAACTTAATAGAAGCATGCCAAGCCATACCTATGTATTAGTAGACATCCCTTTTTTTTAAGCGATCCAAGTAAGTACTTTCTGTTCGACAAGGCAGATAACTACAATTCCATGCCTATTTTACATAGCTGTTATGATTATTTACTATAAACGGAAAGTGAAATAAATACTCTTTTCTACTAAACTGACTTGGCGCGGAGTATCTATGGAATGGAATGGGATGGAAATATTTGCGATGAACGCACCTAAATCATGTTGATATAACACCATACTAACTATTAAATTTGGAATGCTTGACCGTTAGCTTAGGTAGCAGTGTTTTTTGGGTTGAGATCAATTGCAAACAACGAAAAGGTTTGTAAAAAAAACTTGTACCTATTGATAATACCAAAGGCATCTCATACGTTAACAGGATGGGTAGTGTTCAATCCCCTATCCGAGAAAGAAATTAAGGAAAAGGATATTGGGCAAAATGTATGGACGGTGCACTCACATCCGCCACGGCTTAATCTACATTGTTTGAAAGGTATTATAGTCATGATCATCTGTGCCAAAGCGCATCATATTACATCCCGGGGGTCTTTAGTTATTTTAAGTTAAATAGGTACAAGTACTATAACGAACGAACATTAATGAAACAAGGGAATTAATTTAGCTAGTTAGTTCGACCCTACATAGGGGGCTCAGGTTATGTTATTTAGCCGCAATAGAGTAAATCCAAAAATTCCCGCATCGGTTGGAGTTTTTTTTAAACATTCTGTTCGTTATAGTAAATTGTCTTCTATGTAAAACGGAGCGACCACAAACCACACAAACTTGTCCACGCTTCGGAGAAAACATGATTCCAGTTCATCTATACTAATTGACAAAACCGATAATCGTGTTCCAATGTCCAAAGCGTGTGAGATAAAAATCAATTAAGTGACACAGGAATCAAGGGAGCGCACAATAACAACAAAGTAAGACTAGTCGACTATTTGCAACTGCAAGTCCTTCAATCCCCGTGAACCGTTTTGAGGTGTCTCAGTAAGTGCAAGTGCAGGATGATGGGTAGGCTTTGTCCTATATCTGGTTGTAAAGTACGATATGGCATATTATTATGGTTACTTATAATATAAAATGAAGGTACAATAAAATGAATTTATTTAGCTACTTAAATATTTACTTATTTATTTATTTTATTTATTTTAAACTTTATTGACCAAAATACAATACAATGGTACAAAAGGCGAACTTAATGCTAATAGCATTCTCTCCCAGTCAACCTTTGGGAAAAAAGAAAAACGCGAACGGCGGTATAAAGCTAAATATACACATAAAAATTGAAATAATAAATAATATTAAAATATATACGATTTAACATAGATACATATATAAATAGATACTACTTACGAAAGGAATACACATACATACATACATACCACAATTATATTTAAATATATATATATACACATAACTATACACATGGTGATGATTAATGAAGTGACTCTTTATCTTAAATTTTGAAGCAGATGAGTGCGAACATTCCTTTTAAATATGAGTTTATTTGGAGATCTTCTGATGGAGTCGGGTAGGTCATTCCACAGCTGTATGGCTTGAAGAGTAAAGGAGTTGGACATATAGCCTGAATGAGAAAGAGGGATAAAGAGAGCTAATGAATCGCAAGAGCGGAGAGGACGTTCGTGACTATCGCAGAGATATTGGAACTTGCATTTCAAATACTCTGGAGAATGCGGATTGGAAATTATCGAAAAAAGAGTGCAGAGTAATCTTAACTGCCTGCGCTGGCGGATAGGAAGCCATTTTAGTTGAGATTGATATGAGGAAATATGGTCAAATTTGCGGAGGCAGAAGATGAAACGGATAGCATTATTGATTAGGCGGTCCAATTTGTTGAGAAGATCTGCGTTTAAGTCGGGATAACAGACATCGGCATAATCAATGAGTGGTAGGATAAGAGACGTAACGAGAGTAATCTTAGTTTTTATGGGGAGGAAATTTCTGAAGCGGTTAAGGGAACGTAATGAAAAAGTAACGGCTCGGCTAACTTCAGCAATCTGCGATGTCCAACTTAGCGTGGTATCAATGTGAAGGCCGAGATTCTTGATGCTGAGGCTAAATGGAATTGTAGAACCCTCAAACACAACAGGTGGGAGCAGACCAAAATCGATCTTTGAGATCTGCTTGGAACCACCCACAACGATTGCCTGACATTTTGTGGGGTTAACAGCGATTCCAAAGTCTGCAGACCACGTACTTACATTGCAAAGATCTTTATTTAGCTGAGATATGCCAGCAGCCATTTCCTCGACAGTAGTCTGCACATAAATTTGCAGATCATCAGCGTAGAAATGTTAAAAACAGCCAAGCGAGAAGGAAAGAAAATTGATGAATAAAGAGAATAGAAGAGGAGAAAGAATTCCCCCTTGAGGAACACCAGCAGTCAGGTCATTCCAGTTAGATAATTCACGTTCCTTGCGCACTGCCTGCTGGCGCTCAGAAAGGTAAAACGAGAACCAGTCCAATGTCAAAGGTGAAAAATTATGGGATTTCAGAATAGCAAGCAGAAGATTATGGTCTGCCATATTAAAAGCATTGGAGAAATCAATTAAGACTATAATGGTGACCAACTGGTTCTCCATACCAAGTCGAATAATATCTTCGGTTACTTTAAGCAGAGCAGTCGACGTACTGTGCCCAGGTCGAAAACCGGATTAGAGAGGAGTAAGTAACTGCCTGGAATATATGAAAGAAGAAATTTGTTGGTAACCTGTTGGTTGGCTTCCAGTATTTTGGAGAGGAAGGGAAGAATAGAAATCGGTCTAAAGTTATTCAGTTGTTTTGGATTGGAAGTTTTGGGAAGAGGAATAACGTAGGCTTTACGCCAAGGAAGAGGAAAGGAACCAGTGAGAAAGGAATGATTGATGATATGTCCAATGATGGGAACAGTAACGTCAAGAATATTAATTATCATATCCCTGCTCACTTATTATAATTATAGATATTAACGGGATTGTTAACATCTACCTTGTTTTTTATGAGTCTCCGATATTTCGGCACTGTTGCAAGCGCCATGATCACGGAGTAACTGAAGTAATTGCGGGTAGATGTTATTGGCAGACATATCGGTCTACCCTCTGACGTCGTCTTTTACTGCGTTCGATACTACCACTAATCCCGTTAATATCCCGTTAATATCTATAATGTTAGTGACCATGAAAGTTTAAAACAATATACCCTGCTCACTTCATCGTATCCTACGGCTTTCGACTTTATGGATATAATAATTTTCCTAATTTCATCATTTGACACTGGACAGAAGGAAAAAGATTCAGAGTGAGTTTGAGCCATGGAAGTTATTATATCAATGGTTTTAGATTTGGTAGCGGGTTTTAAGGAAGCAGAAACAGAGAAATGGTTATTGAACTCAACAAGAGAGACGGGAAGAGACTGAGATTGAGAAGAGCTTTTACCCAAACCAATGGAACGTAGAAACTTCCAAATATTGGCTGAAGAACAATTAGAAATATTATCGTGAAAGTATTGTCGCTTAGCTGCTCTTACCATTCGATTGCACCTATTGTGTGCAGATTTATAAATATGCCAGTTCTCCTCCGATCTGCTGCGCTTGAAGGCTCGGAACGCACGGTCCCTCCGAGTCATAGCGATACGGACACCCCTACTGATCCACGGTGCAGGTGGTCGCCTAACTCTAAACGCCTTCATTGGGGCATGAGTATCGTACAGTTGTAGTAAATGTTTATTAAAGTGAGAGATTTTCTCATCAACTGACGACGACTGCATGACACAAGAAAAGTCGAGCCCAGCGGCATCCTGCCTCAACCTGTCAAG